GTATGTACGTACGTACGTACGTACGTACGTACATACATACATACATACATACATACATACATACATACATACATACATACATACATACATACATACATACATAAAACTATTGTGTTACCAAACTTCATAAAAATGGTTGACTGAATAGTTCCAGTTCTTCTGCATATTCAAGGCTTTCACCTTAGGCTAAATTATGTTTATATTGTTATTTTTCAGGGAGATGTAGAAAACAAACCAGTAAATGGCTACAAACCAGATCTCATGCAATGTGTCGTATACAGCCATGGTGAAAAACACAAGGTGAAGCCACTGCCCTGGGAAAATGTACAGTCAAATGAAAAGGGAAGTATGACTGGCGTAGAAACTGACAAGTGGGCACACAGTGAGAAGCCATCACTTAGCATCCATGTGAATGGTGACCTCTGTAAAGCTGGAACAAGAGATGAGAACTCAAAACATTTGGAAAAAAATGCAAAAGCAATTCATTCTTCTAGTGTGTCAGATGAATCCAAAAAGTTGTTTGCACAAACTGTTAGAAATGGCATTAAAAGTATATCTTACTCACCAGCAGAATGTGATGCATTGCTGAAAAAAACAGACCTGAGTGCAGATTCGTCAAACAGCTGCAAAGAAAGACACTGTGATGCCTCTCGGGGAGACGCTGCTCCACTGAACAATGTCAGCACTTTGTCGGCTGGAACATGTGGTGCTCTTCTAGAAAAGGATCATGTTCCCACACAACAGGCGGAAAACTCTAATGTCCTTCAGGAATCTGAGAACTCGCTTTTAGAAACCAGTTCACTTTTAGCTCTGCAGGACAAGTCGTCGTGTGCTCCTGTGTTTCAAAAAGATGGCTGTCCTAATGATGGTGCTTCAGCTATCCCAAGCAAAGATTCCCATACTGAAGATTTGTCACTTCAGTCAACTTTTTTATCTCTGATTAAAACTCGTAATTTAACTGTAGAACAGGTTGTAGCTATTGAGGCATTAACACGTTTGTCGGAAGTCCCTGCAGGAGCTTCTTCACCAGCTAAAACGGAAAGAGTTCAATGTACAGACGAACAGATTTCACATTCGCTGAACAGCTACAAAAAAGATAATGCATGTTCCTTGACATCATCAGCGTTGAAAGCAATTAAAGGGACTTGCCCTCAGAAAGACCAGCAGCTCTTTTCTCATGTTCCTTCACCAAGGAGAATTCTTCCTAAGAGTTTGCTTTACAATGGTCAAGGTGCTATTTCTGAATTCCCTAGTAAATCCTCAGGCCCATCCAGCTTATTGCGTCGATTGCATGGCTCTCCACGAGATACCAAATCTTTCTCAGCTTTAGCGTCTGGTGGAAGTTCAGCTCATCCTACCAAGAAATACCCTCTTCATCCTAAAGCTGCCATTGGCCCATGTGCCAAAAATTCAAGTGCTGTCAAACAACGCAGGAACAAAGTAGACATGCTTGGGAAATGGGAAGGAAAGGCTATTCATAGCCTGAATTCAAAAAGTAATTCTGTAATTAGGGGAAGCATTCACAGCCAGGATGAAGAAGAGGTAGCCACCCAGTTAACTCAACTCGCAGCAATAATTGAATCAAGCAAAACGAGCCCAGACCAGAAGGCATCCCTTTTTAGCCGAATACCATCTGATATGCAATCCAAACATAAACAAGATCAGTGCCTATTGCAGAAGAAACAATCGGTATTCATAAGGAACAATTATAGCTCATTGTTAGTTAAGCAAAGGCAACCATCACGGAAAAACGATAAAGCAGTCCCAAGGGCAAAAAGATTGAAAAAGAAGCCCCAGCCAATCCCTGACCAGCAAAATCAGCTTCAACAAGAATGTCAACATAGTGAGGTACAGGAGATGCAGAAGAAACCTTCAAAACTCCGCAAGCTTGGGCGGATTGTGTCACAAGATTCAAAGTTAACTTCTTTGGGGAAAAAATCTTCCAAAACCAAAGTCCAAAAGACACGGAAGTGGAGTACTTTGCCATCACAACAAAAACCCACTGCGTTATTTCTCCCCAAAACTCAGATTATATTCCGTAGGCCTTTACCTGTCTTGGTGCAAGACAGAATGAAAGATAAGCTGTTTGGCCGTGAGATGGTACCTGAACCCATCAGAACGATGGGCTCAAGAGAGGCACAGGGCACCAGCCCTCCAAGTGGTGCCCCAGTTGCCCTGCCTCCTAGTGGCCTGCTTAGTCATGATCTTCTGACTGTTTGTCACTTAGAAGCAAAATCCTGTTTAAACCAAGGAAGTGAAAATGTACAGATGTTTACAGAAAAAGACAAGAATTCTCAGGTACAACAAAACAAGAATATTACTCAGATGCATCCTTTGCCTCAGATCTTTAGTAAAAGAACAAATGAGACATGCAAGGATAGCCAAGCAAAATTCCAACAAGATGTTGGGGAGAAACTAAAGGGTCAGAATCTACTAGCGATACCCAATAGCTGTGATGAAGCTCCCCAAGCAGATAATATGCAGGCTCTTGGAAATGTGGAGTGTGTAAGTGAAACAAAATTTCCTACATCAAGAAACTTGGAAACTGAGAACCTGCAGGGTAGAGGGGTCTTAAGATGTTCTCCAACAAATAATACACTCAGCAGTTTTCTTGAATCTCCTATGAAGTTCTTGGACACTCCTACAAAAAACCTAATTGATACACCTACAAAGAAAGGGCAGACAGATTTTCCATCTTGTGATTGTGTTGGTAAGTGCCATTTGAGTCATTTTTGTGTAGTGTTCTGAAACAAATAGTCTAATGGTTGGTTTTTCATTGAGCAGATTTTGGAAAGTTTCTTTTATCTTCCTAATCTAGTCTGTAATGGGATGAAAGTCTTATAAACCTTCATCTCCTAGCTGAGAAGATGCCTTTATGTCACTCCAGGATCTTTGCTGATAATGGCCTGGATATCCAGATTTCAGGGGTTTTCTCGACATTAATGCAAGTGAGTTTGAGCTCACCAGCTTGTTGTGACTGGATTATAGAAGGAGAAAAAGTAGAAGTTGATAGCAGAGCTGGAAGAATTCCCAACTACCTAAAAATGTGATGTTGGTATCTACCTATTAGAGAAATTTCTCCACAGCAGAAAAAGAAAATGATATTGTACTTGGATGGTCAACCTCAGATGACATGAGGGTCTGATCCAGTTGTTAAGTTGTATTCCAGTAACCAGTCATATACAAAGATGGTTGTCAGGTGTTGAAAGAAGCTTGTTCTCTAAGCCAGAGAGTCTCAACCTTTTTTTAGCTATGGCCATAAACACAGTATGAAACATAGGCCAAATCAGGAATAATGAACCTTATAAGGTGGCGTGTGAAGAACTGCTTCCAGTCTATGCCGCCCTTCAAATGTGTCAGGATCCCCCAGGGGGTCATATGGCCCCTGCTGAGAATGTCTGCTCTAAACATTGTGACCTAATAGCAGGGGTCTCCAGACTATGGCTCACGGGCCACATCCAGCCCGTTCCCTTCAGCTTGTGCATGTCCACACACAGGGGTGTGGACAGGAGTGCAGGTGGGCATCAGTGTGTGTGGGCGGGGAGGCCGTGCGGGTGGGCATGGGCATAGGGGCGTACATGTCTGTGGGCGGGTGGGCGCGCATGTTCCTGTTCCTTTGGCCCTCAAAAATGTTGGAAATATCCGGTGTGGCCTGATTTTAGAAAGACATTGAAAAGTGTTTGTGTTGGTGTGTGTTTACTATATATAACAGTTATTTTAAACCTTTTTTTGTAGAACAAATTATAGAGAAGGATGAAGGGCCATATTATACACACCTTGGAACAGGACCAAGTGTTGCTGCAGTGAGGGAAATAATGGAGGACAGGTGAGGAAATAAACATCAGTGAGTAAAAAGTTATTAAACCTATTAAATTTTATGTGCTGTGACATAAGGAAGTTGGTGGTAGCAGCAGCAGTCATAGAAGATATATGTGGTATTCAGTTTCTTTTCCTTATGCTTTCCTTATCCTAGGCCCCTTTCATCTGGTTCATCTTTACTGGTGTGAGTTACAATAACTAGAAAATGTGTTCTTTTCATATACTGAGGAAGAGGGACTGAATAGTCTCATGCACCCTATAAGTTTAATGGCAGCTGGGATTGAAAGTTGGACAGGAAGCAGGTATTTGATGTAACATACAGAACTCTGGAAGATCCGTCTCACTGTTATGAGTTCTGGAGGTCTGCATTTAAGACACTGATGGTCATGCTCTGGAGGTAGACAAAGGGTAGCAGAGCCATGTGGAAGACTGGACTAAAGGATATTTTGAGCCTGAAGTTTATGATCAACCTGACAACAAGAGAAGTCAAGTGAGCTTCTTCAGAAGAGCCATTAGATGTGTATTTTCTATTTCAGGCCAACTAGAATGGAATGATTATACAATCCAAGCTGCTAATTTAAGTCTTTAAAAAACGTTGCATTCAAATTGCCAGAAAATGGCCTGATATTGTTGCAAAATATCATGCTTGTGTTGCTATCAAGAAAAGATATCAAACTTTATATAGCAAAGGGCTGCCTAAATGTTGATGACACCCATGTCATCAGTCAAGATGATCTGCAAGATACCCTCTTGTGGTCACTACCATTTCTTCTAGGCATTTTATTTACTTTGTGGCTCCAAAAACTAGATACCTAGAGAACTTGTCGAAAAACAGCCCTGACAACTGCATTGTGTTTGGCTGAGAAGTAGTTAACTGTTTAAAAAAAAAAAGTTAGGTTCCCTGCTTGGTGAATGGTAGTGCCAAGATGGAGGGAAATCCTGGGTGGTTGGCCTGCCAATCTCAAACTTCCTTTCCTTGTACAGTGGTGCCTCACATTGCGGCGTTAAATCACTGCAGAATGAAAACGTCGCTATGCGATATTAAAAAGCCCATAGAAACGCATTGAAACCCATTTCACTGCCTCTTAAGCGAGAAATCCATCACTAAACACAGCGGGCGTCCATTTTGTTTACCCGGCGGCCATTTTGAAACTGCCGATCAGCTGTTTTAAACTTGTCACTTCGTTCCCGAAGCAGGGAACCGAGCATCGCAAAGGGAAATTCCCCCATAGGGAACATCGCAAAGCAATCACTTTTGCGATTGCAAAAAAAAGCATTGCAAAGCAATTTCATCGCTAAACGGAGCTATCGCTATGTGAGGCACCACTGTAGGTTCATCAAAATCAGAGCCAGCCTGATTTTTGAAGTGTGGTTAGACAATTCTCTTTCAACTTGTCTGGTAATGAGGGTTAAAGTAGATGGTGCTGATGGTTTAGGTATTTTCTATCTTTTTAATTAAAAAAACACAAACTATTACTACCTTACTTTTCCTTGCTCTTTAATTATATTTGACTGTTTTATTTGTTATTGTTTGAGCCTGGATGGATTTTAATTTTCAAAATTATGTTATCTCTATCTCATGGGTCACCCTTTGGAGAAAAAGGTAGCATATAAATAAAATAACTCTTTGACTGTTTCTTAGGTTCCTGATGGTTTTATAGTAGTTTTTGCTACTGTTTGTTTGGTTGCTCACTGTATTAATGACTGGTATGCTTTCTACTTTTTTCTTATTTAATTTCCACCTTGTACAGGTATGGAGCAAAAGGAAGTGCTGTACGAATCGAAGTAGTGGTGTATACAGGCAGAGAAGGAAAAAGTTCCCAGGGGTGTCCGATTGCCAAGTGGGTGAGTTTTTATTTTATAGTCATATATCTTTATTTTTATCCTCAGATTTTATTTTTCTAATTCTCTAATGATGCTTCTTGTTTAAAAAGCTTGTATTAAATGTATTTATTGGACTAATTTTGTCATACTTCATGAATAGTGAAGACTCCACAAAATGGCTAGATATCATATCAGTTTCCTACAATGTCTTAACCAGGAAATTACGGTTTGAGCAGTCCTTCCTTTGAGACTGAAAGAGGGTGGGGCAATAAGGATGTTAAAAATCTGTGACTCATTTTATGATCCTTCAACTCTAGGTTGTCTGAATCAGAGGAGGCTATATCCATAGTATGAGGGGGCAGCTGTTTGATCTGGGAACCACTGTGCGGGGGAGGGGGAGGGAATAAACACAGATTACCAAAAAGAAAGAGAGAAAGATAATTAAGACAGGAGGTGGCTAGATGCCCATACCCAGTTTTGACGAATGGATATTTTTGTTATTAATCAGTGCAGCATATTTAGAATGTACTGTATAGCACAATTCCTGTAAGTTTCTAGGAGCAACAGTTTATCTTTCATTGTAGGAGGTGAGGGGACAGTTTTTGGCAGTGGGAATCCTGAAGAGTCAGCAAACCAGCCTTCGGTGGGTTGGTACTGGGTTGCCAGATGTCAAGTAAAAGGAGGACATGTTCTCCTTTTTAGCCTAATGTCCTCCGTCAGGCAGGCAAAGATAAAAAACTTTAAAATGTCAGGCTTTTGTATATTTCATGTCATAATTTTGGATGGGAGGGGGAGAGGTGGAAGGACACCCCTCCCCTGGCTTTCCCCGCTCCTACCTGCCCACCCACTCCGCTACCTGCCACCGGCGCTGGAGCACAGCCCTCGCCCCCTCCCGCCACCACCGCAGCTGCTCAGCAATCCACCATGCCTGCCCAGCCCCCATGGAGCTCAAAAAGGCAGTGCGAGTGGAGCACAGCCCGCTGAGCCAGGCAGGAGCAAGTAGCATCTGAGTGCATAGATGGGAAGGCGAACACCCAGAGTGTGTGTTCCAAGTCCCTTTCAGGGACTCCAATTCCCACACTCCCCAGCCTTGAACTTGTGACCCTCGGGGGAGAAGAGGCTGCCTCATTTGGTTTTGTCTGGTGACATTGTCCCCCTGCCTACACCGGAGCCTTGTTTGGGCATCCAGATTAGCAAGGTTGCCTCTGAGCCTGTGCAGAGTGCAAGCAGCCAGGGGATTCCGCAGCCGGGCCAGGATGGTTTTGGGTACAACTGGCTGTTTAAATAATGTTTTTTTGGTATTTTGGGTGGCTGTTTAAATAATGTTTTTTTGTATTTTGGGCGGGAAAGCCTCAATTGAATTTATTTTTATTTTTAACATGACTGTTTCTTGGTCGGTTCACTAAGAGACATTTATTGGCAGCTATTGTAATAAAATTGTATTGATTGCTGCTTTAATCTGGAATGATTCAAATGAAACATTCAATACATCCTCCTCTGTCCTCCTTTTTGTCTTTCTATGTCCTCCTTTTGGTACCCATGTATCTGGCAACCCTAGGTTGGTGGGGTTTTAGGTTAGTCCCTGAGCTGTTCCCACCCTGCTCCAAAAACTATTATTTCTTTAGGTAAAGGTAAAGATTCCCCTTGACAATTTTTGTCCAGTCGTGTCTGACTCTAGAGGGCAGTGCTCATCCCCATTTCCAAGCCATAGAGCCAGCATTTCTCCAAAGACAATCTTCCATGGTCATGTGGCCAGTGAGACTTAGATACAGAACACTGTTACCTTCCCACCGAGGTGGTCCCTATTTATCTACTCGCATTTGCATGCTTTCGAACCGCTAGGGTGGCGGGAGCTGGGACAAGCGACGGGCGCTCACTCCGTCACGTGGATTCGATCTTACAGCTGAAGATCTACAGACCTTACAGCACAGAGGCTTCTGCTGCCCACAGCGCCACCACGTCCCCTTTCTTTATCTTGCTTAAATTGAGTTTGCCTCTGTGAAGACTGTCACTGAGGACTTTTTCTGGCTCCCCATGTTACAGATGAAGGGGTTGAGGCTCAAAGCACCTGGCTTAGTGAATTCATAGCTTAGCTGAGTTCATAAATTGTGGCTCTTAACCCGAGGTTAGAGCACGCTGTAGCACACTGCACCTTGTTTGTATATCTCTATTTGTTTTTATATCTAGCAAATGAAGTGTACCGACGGCCCGAGTACACATGGAGCTGCAAACTGGGGTGTGATGTTATTTTCCTCACAATGTATTTGGGGGTGACAGTTTTGACTCTGTTGCTTTGTGAACAACTCTTGCAGGAACCAAGTAAGGCAGAGTTTGCTATAGATGCCTCAGGTTGATGTTTGCACAGGGATCTGAGATTGAAAACAGATATAGATGTGTTGTTCTCTACCAATAAACATTTTAATGTCACAGCTGTTGGAATGAGTCATTCTGCAGTACTCAGCCTTGTTTGTATGTGAACTGATCATCCAGATTCGAAATGGAAGCACTCTAAAGGAACTGCTTTTGGTCTTATTACATTATCTATGCTTGCCTGTGGCTGTTTACTATCTTATCAGAAAATCTATTTTGTTATAAACTTGCACGTTTCCTTGTTCTTAGGAGAAGGAGGACCAAATTCAGGTTGTCCAATTTGTATATATTATTCTATAAAGTCAGTTTATTATATAAATAAACTTATTAGTTTAGAGCTATTTGCTATGAGCCTCCCCTTCCTGCAATCAATAAGGGAGTATTTCCTGCCAATTCTTTCTCCCATTTTACTTCAGTGGCATTACGTGTGGTGTGTGCAGGGAGGACAATGTTACTGTGAAACAGGTACTTTGGAGCAGAAGTGTCTGTAGGCTGGTGAACTCTTAATGTCATTCTCTGTGCTTTCAGAGATCTTACATGAGTCATACCTGCATTACAGTTTACAGTCTGTAGACTTCACATTTACGCTAAAAGTTTAATTGAATACTGAAAGAATAATGGCAACTTGTATGTTTGTCCTTAGAACAGTCAGCACTCTCGGGGGGCTGGGAATCATTTTTAAAGGTTTGATGTAGGTGGAGAGGTTGGGAAAAAAGCTTGCATAGTGATCATGGAGGAAGAACTATGCCAGTACATTGTTCTTGCCAGTACAATGATAATTTAACTTCTGTTGCCAGCTCTAGGACTTACTAATATTGCAGCTTTCTCCTGAGTTGTGCAGCACCGACTGTGCCTGTTTAACTAAGGAATAGTTGCCATTGGCACCAGAGTGATTGTCCTCATTCTTGCACTAAGATGTGAACCACAAATGTGGCTTATTCTGGACCCAGGAGACTTGTTCCCATGTTCTCCTCTTGACACAGAAGCAGGTGTTTTAGTAGAATGGGCACAGAAGCAGAGGAAAACTTTGCCCATCTGCAGACTTGAATTATCAGCAAGAGGTGGGTTTGGGAAACTAGGCCTCACCCAGTGTGGCTTCTAGCTCCTTTGCTGACTGACAGCCCTTTTGCTTGTCCTCTTAACAAACACTAATGTACTATTTCAGAGGCTTTGGAATCAACACTGTGGTTTATTTCTTCTCAGCAGTCTTCTGAGTGTTTTTGTCACTTCTATTTTGTAGGTCCTTATGTGTGTGACACATGTGATAAACTACTGTAGTCTGTTTTGTGTTATTAATGGTGTTATTACTGTATATTCAGGTATCCTTCACATGCATGAATAAGAGTGGCTTCTCTTCCTTCCTTCCTTCCTTCCTGTCTGTCTATCTGTCTATCTGTCTATAATTATATATTTACAGATAGGTAACTCAAACATTTCAAAAGTAAGCACTGCTTTAAAAAATTATATCAGGGAGGAAAATACTGCTGATTCCAGAAAAAGTCTTTTGCATTATTCAGTGAGGTGCAGACAGATAACAAATACGGTGCTGGTGTAGGGTAAGTCAAAGATAAACTAATTATATTAATTGGGCACCACTCTGTAGGAAACTATGATCTTCTGAGAGTATTATCAGAAGGTTAGACCTCAGAAGTTTATATTTTTCTTCCCAAGACTACTCCTATTCTTCTGTTCACTGCCTTCAGTTGTTACTGTGACTATGTTTCCAGTTTCTCACTGTACAATTTAACATTGTTTACAAAGGGGGAAAGCATTTTTGTTGCTGAGGGAATTGCCTTGTTCTGTAGAACCAGGATGTACTGTCTGCACTCTGTGTCTGACTGCCTTTTAAAGAGCAACTTTAGAGTAGTAAGGATTAGAATGACTTTAAAGGAGTCTGGAAGGATGTGGCTAAGAAGGAAAGCAAAGCTCAACAGGTTAAAGTGAAGAACTTACAACTGCAGTTTTCTTTGGCAAAAGTGTATAGGTGAAGATGGTGCCCAGTCGCTTTTAGTAATGTGCCAGCATTTAAAGACATCACCACAGTTTATATCCTGGAAGTGAAATGTGCAGAATACTATCGCTCCCAGTTATTTTGTTGTCATTTTTTTCTTTTCACTTAATGCTTGTGGAAGCAACAAATCAACAGCTGCCACAATTTTGGTTGTAGCATGAATGGAGCTCTGTGTCTTTTACCAGGCTCCATTTGATGGGGGCTTTCTCTCATTTGCATGTAATACAAACCCCTGCTTCGTAGTCTTCCTTAGTTGGTCTTGCATTTATGGCCTGACAGTTGCGGAGCAGCCATGGTGTTACTTCCATGGTGTTCCATCTGTAGGGCTCTAGGCAAAAGCTCATCTTAACCTCCAGCTTCTTGGGTCAAGAGTAGTGTAAGCTCATTCCTGCATGTGTACTGCTTTAATCCGTGTATATTCATCTCAGTTAGCTTAGCTGCTTTTGAAGGGACCAACTACATCAAGTAATCTTTTATTCACAGAAGACTTATTCCGTATTCTAGAGCGTCTTCCCAAGTTGAGACAATTGCACCAACAATCTAAAAGAAACATTTTAAGTAAGTAGAAAGTTTTAAGTAAGGAAGTATCATTTTTTAAAAAAGTATGTGGTTTTTGTAAAATTCAAAAACAATGTTAGGT